TTCTAACATGGGTTGGTACGTTGGGTGATGAGGAGAGTGCAGCCCTATTTCCCGAGACAGGCAATCCGCTATTGGAACCGGAGGAGAGTAGCGAGTTGTACATCACTCCTGAAATTCTCGCTGCTTTCAAGAAGGCGATGGGTGAAACTGGGATTACGATGACGTTTATTTCGGGGTCTTGGACGCCGGTTGAGAAGCTTTTGGAGATGGTTCCTTCGTCTCCGGATCTGAACACGTTCATCTTGGGTTCGGAGACTATCTACTCGCCAGCTTCACTCACGGCGTTTACTGATGCGATTGTCGCGCTGATGGGACGGGTGAAGACGGGCAAGACGATGGTAGCGGCGAAGAGAGTGTACTTTGGTGTTGGGGGCAGTGTGGATGGATTCAGGGAAGCTTGTGCACAGAGAGGATGTGTAGCGTACGAGATGGAGTTCGAAGGCCTAGGCGATGGAAGCGATGGAGGGGTGAGGAGATGTTTGGTTGAGGTGCAGATGTATTGAAAGTGGTAAAAAGAATGGTTCATTGCGGTCGTGAGTTATGGATGAGATGGGTATCTAGGGATGTACCAAGAGGAAAAATGAAACCAAAAGGAAAGTAAAGACAATCTTGTGAACGCCGTCAAAAAATATCCAAGTACTAAGCCAGGTTTCTCCAAAGCTGCCTGTGTCGAGACGATCTTACTACTTCGCCCTCACGGTGACTGTCGGTCCAGGCAGCTCCCTTCTACCCTCGCCTTCTTCGCCGCCACGCATAAGCCTCTTATACGTGTCTCCCTCAACCCTCATGTGCTCTCCACGACTGACCTGCAGCCTGTCCACGCCCTTTCCAATAGCATCAATGTGATACTCTAAAGGCAGATCACTTCTGTAACCCAGAATCTCTGGCGCCGCAACGCCCTCTCGCAAGTTCTCCAACTCGGCCTGGATCTCCTGTAGCTTGAGAAGTGTGCCTGATACATGATTGACCGCTCTCTTGCGATAGGCACCAATGTTGGCAAGTAAATTGAGGGACTTGGTGTTGGCTTTCACATCGCCGCGGTTACCCCCAAGTTTTGTCCAGAGGCTAGAAAGAAGCTCTTCTTGTCTGCCCGTTATCGTCTGGTCATCGCCTGTTGCAATTTCGTAGATGGTGCCTAGTCGCTCATCAAGGTTGTGCAGAACAAGAAGCAGAGCTTGAGCTGTTTCGATAAGACGCGTAATCTCGTCTTTGTTCTTGCTGACGTGCGATACGTACTGGTCGAAGATGCGCTGTTGGAGCGTTGGCGGTGGCGCGACGAACGCACCCGTGACCTGGTTGATAACTCGGCCAACGGCGCCAATGGAAGACTCTTTCTCCGAGATACCAGACAACACGTTCATGGTCCAGGTGTTTGTCGCAATTACACGGTCCATAGCTGCCCCTATGCGACTGTTGTAACGAGACAGATCGACGGAAGCCTCGTTGGCTGTTTGTACAAAGTACTCGAATTCATTGTCCAAGGCCTTGCGGCTCGGAAGACGAGAGTGCTTGACAAGAATACGCAAGTCGCGAATAGCAAGCTCGGAGTTCTTGATCGTGGCGGGCAGAGCAGAAGTATCTTTCGATGCGTCCAGGATATCCTCGAATCGACTTTGAACATTAATGAGTTCCTCGAAGTCGGCCTGAGGTTCTGACGTGTCTAGCGTAGCGCATGCGGGGATGAGGTAGGAAGAGCCTGGTATCGCGCAAACAGGCCCCATTAAAGCGTTCGATACTGTGGATCGTAGTATCCCGGATGCTAGCTGGATGCCGAAGACTAGGATGCCAACGCCGAGGGCGACCCCTAAGAACGGCTTGATAAAGTGTCGCATCGCGTAGGAGAAGATGTCTAGGAAGTGGGCGAGGAGTGGTGCGGCGACATTATCCCAGAAGAGGTTCACGTAGTGCCATGGGCTCACTTCTTCCTGGTTTTGTTGTGGCGCTTGCGGATATCCGCTGGCAGACCCTTTCGTGAAAGAGCTGCCTGGTGCAAGGGGCGAGTCTGATGGGCGGTTTTGGGTCGTGTTTCTTACTCGGTTCCGCGGCTGGGATTTTGGACCTGGCGAGCCGCCGTAACCACTTGGCGAGTTACTCATGGAAGGCATGATGAAGCTCGGCTCGGATGCGTCTTGTTTCGGTGTTCTGTCAGGTCCTATCCTTTGCGATTGGCTGGCTTTGGTCCGACTTGCTGGCTTTCTTACGGGCCGAGCCTGCGTTTGCGCCGTAGGTGTTGACTTGCTGAGATGATTGCGCTTAGGTCTGGGTGTCACGGTCGTCCGTGATTCTTGTACAGTTTCTTTGTCAGAGTCCTCTAGTTCCAATTCGCTGGCTTCGTCGCTGGCCGAGTGAATGGAGCCTTCGTCACCGGATGCGTAGTCAGCGTCGCCCCAGCTACTTCCCAAGCTGTGTTCGAGCCGCCGTGAACGTGCGCTCATATTCCAAGTTGATGGTATCTAGGATCTGTGACGTAGGGCTGACGGATGAGTGGGTCAAGGTAAGAATGCAATACAGAGCAGGGGGTAGTTATAGATTTAGGCAGTGGTGTGTCTAGTGATGACCCAAACTGTCTCACTGACTGCCTTTGTGTCGTTGTAGGAGGCTGGGTAGAACAGGTTGCCACTTCCTACGTGTGACGTGGGGCCTGCCAATCAGGCTTCTGGCGCATACTGTGTCTTAGTGCGTCGCAGAGACATCAAGCACTTTTGTTGTTAGTGGAGTTCCAGAACGATGGCCCTAGCACTGTACCTGTAGTACCTGACTACGTTTGGGGATTAAGTGGTGTTGGCGTACAGACGCGTCGACGTCATGTTCGAGCTCGCGTGCGCCAAGACGACTAGTCCAGAAAGTGCATCCTGAACAGCACGCGAAGTTGGTGCAGGAGTCAAGACTTTCCGATGCCACTACGCCAGCTTTCCCTCGCGCTACGGACTGCAAGACGGGCGCAATTAGAACCAACGAGGTGGCGCCAACATGGACGTCTCTTCGCGCGCAGCTGCTCTTGTTCTGCGCCCCACCAGTTGCAGCACACGGTGACCGTCTCGTCTGAAGCACCCGCCAGTGCGCAATTGAACCCTACAGCCGGCACCCCGCCTACACCTTCTCTCGACCATCGAGCCCTCGCGCAAACACATAACCTCTTCATCACATCTCCGTATAGCCCCGGCTCGCCGCTCATCCTTCCCAACGGTGCCTATGTCTTCCAGAAGTTGCAGTCGTTCCTGCGAGCGCAATATCCGCAATTCGGCTTCCAAGAGGTCATCACGCCCATAATATACAAGAAGTCGCTATGGGAAAAGTCCGGGCACTGGGAGAATTATGCGGAGGACATGTTCAGCGTGCAGGGAAGAGGGACAACGGCGCAGATACCTGAAGCAGAAGGCGGAGAAGACGGCGAGTTCGGTCTGAAGCCCATGAACTGCCCCGGCCACTGTTTGCTGTTCAGGGACGAGATCAAGAGTTACAGAGATCTCCCAGTCAGACTCGCCGACTTCAGCGCTCTGCACCGGAACGAGATCTCAGGCGCCTTGACAGGACTGACCAGAGTCAGGCGGTTCCACCAGGACGACGCGCACATCTTCTGTCGGCCAGACCAAATTCTGGCAGAAATTGAGCAGACGCTCAAGTTCGTGGGCATGGTGTACAACACGTTTGGACTGGGACCCTACAAGCTGCTTCTCTCCACTCGGCCCAAGGACAGCTTCATCGGCACCGTCGAGGAGTGGGATCGTGCAGAAGAGCAGTTGACTACCGCTTTGAACAACATCGGAAGCGAATGGGCAATCAATGAGGGAGACGGAGCGTTCTATGGCCCAAAGATTGACATCATCTTGAAAGACTCGAATGGCAAGGAGCATCAGACGGCAACCATACAGCTCGACTTCCAGCTACCGCAGCGCTTCGATCTGCAATACCAAGCATCACCAGAAGAGTTGGAGGCAGGATCGCAGTCATCTATGGATGCAGGACTGGATCCGGCCCTTCGCCGACCAGTCATCGTACATCGCGCCATCTACGGTTCCATCGAGCGCTTCATGGCTCTGCTGATAGAACACTATGCTGGCAAATACCCTTTCTGGCTTTCGCCTCGACCAGCTATCGTCCTATCGCTGAACTCAGACCCTAAAGTTCTCGAACATGTCTCGCGCATTCAGTCTGTCCTTTCCGGTCTCACACCCTCTGACGCACCAGCCACGTCCGCGTCGTCACCCAAGCCCTTACCGTTATCGACTATACACCTGCCCATCGATGTCGATACAAGCGACCGCTCGCTCGGGAAGAAGATCGCCGAGGCAAGAACAAAGAAGTACAATCATATCATTGTGGTTGGCGGCAAAGAGGTTGAGAGTGGTAGCATGAATCTTCAGATCGTGAACCAGCCAAATGAGGAGTTCACTATCGAAGCCCTGCAAGCCTCCTTGGGAAAGACCCTCACTGAGAGAGAAAGATCAAAGGCTACCGTGAACGTCGACCTAGACGGCGCTAGGAAATACTTCGAGAACCTGGCCAACTCGTTCTTGTAATACAACGTCGATTCTGATTCAAAGCCTTGTCCGTGTTAAATTGTGTGTCATTATGGTTGCCCTGTGTTTAGTTTAGGGTTAGGGTCTTTTCTACAGTCCGGCATTACGTACGGCCAGTAGAAGCATGTAATACGCCACTTCGGGAAAAGTTCCTGGTATGCTCAAAGAGAAGGTTGTGCGGAGAATAGATAAGCTCTGCCGATGCTATCTACTATACCCTATAGCCTTGTTGATTGAATGGCGGCATCTGAGCAGATGAGTCTGTCCGCATCTATCAAAGGTGTCTCTTGTCTTCGGAGTCGAATTGTCGGTTGGTGTTCTCATTCTTGCACCCACTTTCACTTTCACTTTCACTTTCACTTGCTTAGCGCCCGCCAAGACAACTGGTCCTTGCACGGGCACCTTCGAATTCCTTCTCCGTTGCCAACCGTGTCACCAGTGCTTCAACAACGTTCCTTGTCTGCGACTTCATCTCACGCGATGGCGACTGCAGTGACGTCCACTGAAGACGCCGCACAAATCCCAGAGCCGATACCCTGTGCCCATGCACCCACAAAACCACCAGCGTGAGTCCAACGTAGCCTCAGCCGAGAACTTCTACTAACAGTCACAGCCATGTATACGACACAATCATCACCGTCGCGGTCGGACCCGACGACGCCAAGAAGAAGTTCAAGATCTATCGCGGGCTGCTTTGTCACTTCTCGAGCTACTTTGATCGCATGCTCAACAGTTCCTTCCGGGAAGCTGGCTCAACCTATCTACGTCTGAAAGATATCGACGCCGAAACCTTCAATGTCTTCTACTATTGGCTCAATGCTGGTGGTTTGGATTGGGGAGGCCTTCTAAACTGGGATAAGGTGATCAACGCCTACCTATTCGCCGACTTTCATCAGGCGCCTATCTTCCGGAATGCTATCTTAGGATCGCTCTTCAATGGCTGGATCATCGATAAAACCATCAATCTTCGGGTGACAGAGGTTTTGTATACCAATACGTGTGAAGGAGACTCGATGAGGAAGCTCATTGTCGACATAGTGGCTGCGACAGGCGACTTCTATCGGCAATATAGAGATTATATCACCTCCGCCCACAAGGACTTTCTGGTTGACATGCTTGTGGCATTTAAAGAACAGAATTTAGTCCCCGGTCAAGGCAGGACAAACAATGGATTCGCTTGGCTTGACGAAGTGCGCAACAGCTTTTGTCAAAGATATCATACGCACAGAGAGAGGGAAACCTTATAAGGAGACTTCGATTCGTAAGTCTACCTCTCGGTTGTGGCAGTTCAATGGTAGTCGCTAATCCGAGGCGCAGGTGCACTTACGTGGTGGTGTGGCAAGCCTGTTGTCTTTCCTTTCAGATTATGTGGGACCCTTTCAGTCGGCAGTGTAGTTGGATCCATTGGCTCTTCTTTGAAGCGGTGATCATTGCCCCAGTTTAATAGTAGATCTGCGTGCGTAGAGTTTGCAGCGGCTATTACAAACTGTCCGATTCTTTCTGATTATACGCATGCTACCCTTTCTATGTTCCACTTCATGACCTTACTATGTGGCAACACCAACGTCGTGCGAATCCAAAACGCAGCATATATTGAATTTTGTGTTATTATCCCCTTTTATCGACCAACAGATCTTCGAGCTGGTCCTAAGAGATGCCTATATATTCCTACTAGGTGAGGGTGACTAATCTAGCTCAAAAGCATCTTCACCTTCACCTTCACTTCGGCTTCTCGGCAAGTAGAGTAGGCTGCCTACAAAGAAGTAAGCAAACGGTCTTTGCATCCTGTGAGACCTTTATCAACATCATCTACTCTTCCATTAACGAAAGCAACCCCAACACTTTTACGATGAGCCACCCACTAGCACAGTGCGCACACCCATGGACCGCGCCTACCATCACCAACAAGCACGACACAGTCACGATCAAGGTTGGCGCCGGCAGCAATATCCAGCAGTATGACCTACATGTTGAAGCACTCAGAGCGCGCTCGCGACACTTCCATGAGGCCCTTCCAGCCTCCTCAAACGAGGAGCGCACAGCGATCCACCTCGCGTGCTCTGCGCCAAAACGATTCGACGCCTTCGCCAACTGGCTTTACAGCGGCAGCCTAGACTCCAGCAACGAAGTCAATGTGAGATACCTCTTCTTATGTGAACTCCACGTGTCTGCCGACACCTTCGATATCCCACTCTTGCGCAACAAGATTGTGGATGTGTTCTTCAACAAGCTTTTGCGCGACGCCCAGCCACTTCCATACGATATCATGAAGTACATCGAGGAGCATCTGAGGGACTCTGCTTTGAGGACCATGATGCAAGACATCATGCTGAACTGCGGCGAGACGGAGGACATGGCCGAGTGGAAGGTCAACCTTGCGAAGGGCTTCAGGATGGAAAGTGGTAGAAACAAAGACGTCGCTGAGACAATTTGCAGGAGTTCAGATTTGAGAGAATATTTGGTCGCATTGAGGGGCAAGGTATGCGAGAAATATCACAAGCATGTGGAGAGAGATGAAATGGTGGTGGGACGTGAGGAGATTTGGTTCTTCGACCCACCTCTGAAATAGGCGGAGAGCACTTTCATGTAGTATAAGACGTCCGACATATAGACGATAACGAGGTCAGAACGGAAAGAGTGGGATATCGTAGTGGAACTTGATACATTGAGTTGTCATATTGTCCATACGAACAGGGGTGATCTAGCTGAACTCAGTGAAACTCGGTCGTTGATATTATGACCCCTGACACAGTTTAAGATGAGCCTCTGTCGAACTATATAACTTGGTATGGAGGACTGTACTCGCAATGCATGTGCGGAGGCTGTGCATACCTGGGCAGTTCTTTCCAATGTTTGCACCTGGGCACTAGCCTAACGCTAGTCTTCGTCGGGTGAGACCCTGATTTCGCTGGCTGACGTCATGAGCTCGCACGATTGAATCCAACTACTGTCTCGTCTCAAACCGACCTGCTCCAAAGATGATCCATGAACGCTCCCATAGCGCTTCCTAGCCTCTTCTGCTGACGATCGGGGTATATCTGCACAACCGCAGCCATGCAACGCCGCGCAGCGCTTGGCCGCTCCAAACAGTGTGGCGTACGGAATTCAATGTCGCCCAAAGCACTCTTCTTGTTCGGCGCTCGCTGATCGGGGATGGCGTCGTATTATTTACGCAGGAAGGTGCTAGACAGCGGTATAAGATGAAGGCAAGCGCAGCCAATCGCGTGTAAGTCGGTATATAACAAAACCGAAGAAGGGCGGTGATGAGTCCATGGAGTACACCGCAAACGGATCCTTCCGGTCCCTTTGAAGCTCGACGCTGCTAAGACACACGCCGCATAATACAACTTGTTGACAGCATCGCCGCCTTCAACGGAGATTGAAGCGTACCTTATCCAGCACGCGGCTGATAGGCACAGGCTTCTCGTTCACAAAGGACACCTCGGAATCGGTACGTTCGTCTACGAGAGAAGCTCGAGATGCCGGTAGCGATATCTCCGGATCAGCCGAACGCATCGTCAGCCACTGGGTGACAAGCATACCGAGGCAGACTGAACTATGCATCAGCGTTTGTTGATCACAAGGAGGGAATCGTGAACTTACTATCAGCGAGGCACATAAGCAGACAAGCGTGGCTCATCTTCGCGAAATTCCAGGCGAGAAACAGGCTATTGTTGCACAAAGTGACAAACAACATGAAGCCCGAGCCAACAACATTTCGAACCAGCATGACTCGCAGGTTGTTCCGAGAAGAGACGGCCCGCCGTGTTCCTTTCATCCAAAGTCGGATTCTCTGCATTGAAGAGTTGCTTGATGTACCAGCAGTGTCGCTTGCGAAACTGAATATCCTAGGTGCCGATGAGCCTAGTGCTGGTCGAAGCTGCCAGACGAAGATTCCCGTGAGAACAGTGTTCATCAGGATGTCCAGCACGATGATCGCAATCGTAGCCGGTCGCTCGATGCCTATCCTGCATTCGCCTGTCTGGTGGTTCAAGATAGCCATTGGGTTGACAAACTGCCATCCCATGATCGCGAGGAAACCACCCGTGACAAAGATCCCTCCGAAGACATACAGCATATCCCTTGTGCGATCCACAAAGGGAGCTCGTACGATATGAACGCGCTCCAGCAAGAAGAGATATCTGTATGTGGTTCAGCATCCGGATTTGGGTGAGCGTCATGCACGAGTAAACACTTACAGTGCTATCTTGTCCGCGCTATACATGGCGATGCAGACTCGTATGGCAGCATGACATTGAGCATCCGTTTGCAGACCCAGTCCAGCTATCTGTATGGCTGTGGCAAATAGAAAGGCCGAGCAGATGAAGCCTTGCGCGAACACGAGTACATCCGACACCCGAGTTTTGGACTTCTGGCCAGCCATGCGGCCTGCTCGATATCCTACCAAGCAGTTAGCAAACATTCTGCGCGACCTCTGGCTACGAAGCGGTCAACATAAAATTCGAATGCACTTGCCTTGGGCCAACGCGAGAACAAATGCAAACAGGATGCATATGATAATCACTGCCACGCGATGTGGTGGCAGCTCGTCCAGGTTGACATGTTTGTGGCTTTCGTCCCGAGTAACAAGGAAAAGCGGAGACATTGGCTGCGCAGCCACACCAGCAATGGAGATTTGCGCAAAAGCAAATAATATCGCAAAGGTAGAAGATCGCATCAACGCTGCCAAGGTGTCCGTTGAGACATGGGGAGTGGTCTCACGACATATAGGTTCACGAAGCGAGCTCTGATCAAGTGTTCAAACTAATTTGCGTATTACGCCGTGGCGAGACTTCTCACTCAACGTCAATCAATCACAACACGGTATATCCTCGATCTATCGGATCGTAGGGCAATATGTCAAGGGCTAGCGCATCAGTGGACGAGTCACCGCTAAAGCTTACTTCAACGGTTCCGACGAGGGGAAGCTGGAGACAACTCCGTAGCGCCGAGCAAGCACCCCGTAGCGAGCCTTCCACGCGCTATGGTGCGGAGACGTTGCGCTACAGCCCTACTACTAGACACCGTTGGGCTCTAGAAGTCTTGATCCGCTGGAGAGTTTTGACCGCTGCTTCATGAGATGCAGAAGTCGCTTCAGCCACATGTTTGCGCCTCCAAAACGACCACCGTGAAGGCTCTGATTTCCAAATACCATGGTGGCATCTGAACGAGGCTATGCGCGTAAGCTTACGGCGACGAGGTCCGGAGATTCCAAGAGGCTTGGATCTCGGGTTGGGAAAAGGACCGCAGGCCGCACGCCCCGGGCTTATCATCCAGGGCTGATACAGAGAGAACCTTGGAATCTTGGAAACCTTCGGGACGCGTCCTTATCTCTGGACCCTCATAATGCCCAGCAGCCATGTCATCCCGTAGTGGTAGCCTTCGTCATCGTTGGTTTCCGCCAAGTTCCTTCACATGTTATGGCTGTCGTTCCGACTCCACCTTGGCTGTGTCACGATGCAGAACAGACATCGTGTAGTGTATGTTCTCCTAGGTCGCTCCACTCGTTTTGCTTCCCAATAGTCTAACTAATCAAGTAAGTGTTTGCGAACTGCAATAGGGTTTCGGTCTTCTTTTTGGGCGTGCTCGGACGAAGAAGACCGGGATATCTGGAAGCCGTCAGAGGTGAATGAAGGGTCTACCATGCACCCCTCAAGTATGTACTTTCTGTAAATTAAATCAAACGTCCAAGCCCTTTTAATGGCCCTGGGCAGAGACATGTAATCTTGCCAAGGGTACTAATACGGAACGACAAGCCCAGTCTCCCCTATCAGCCGTACCCTTCACTCCGCTGGGAATTCACCTCTGCAATACCTACATCCATTCAAATGTTGTCCCACGAATGAGAAGTCTGACAAACATCTGTGGCAATCACTATGTATCCTTCGACCGTGGTCGCCGCCTTTGTTACTTATTTGACAAAGACAAATGGGTGGTAATCATCTGTGACTGAAAGTCGTCTCCATGGCTGGCACGCGATGTACTGAGCAAGGTAGTGTGGTCGGTAGACGAGAGTAGAACGTAGATACAGCAGAGCGAAAAGCAGCAAGTGTCACGTAGCATACCGTTATGTGTTAGCACGGAGCGCAGGTGAATATGAGTACAAGGGTTAGTGTTTGTTTGGTCTATGTAGAGTACCTTGCTGTACATGGTCGCGCTTCGCTTGGAACGTAACTGCAAGTGCATACCCGTGGGCTGCCTCTCCACTACCCTAACAAAACTTCTCCATCGTTCATGAGCTCAAATCAGACTCGTAGCCTTCCCTACCGATAGCCATTGGCTCGATCGATGTCCGAATCCGTCAGTCGTCCTTACAAGAATCGCGTATGTTGGGCAATGCTGAGATGTCATTGTGCCAACAGGCGAATGGAAAGACGCTCGCTCACTCGGTCTACCAGCCAGAAGAAGTATTGGCATCGGCAGCTGCGGTGGTGTCGTCAGCCCAGTTGCCGCTCGACTCAACCGGAGTATCACCCCAACCGCCAGCCGCAGCGGTCGAGCCACCGGCATCGCCCCAGTCACCGCCAGCAGCCTCAGCAGGAGGCTCAGGGCAACGCTTCTCGCCATGACCGAAGTTGTTGCAGTTGCGGCACTTCACGCGAGACCAGTCACGAGGCTTGGGGCACTCGCGAGAAGCATGACCCTCCTCGTCGCAGTTACGGCACTTCATGATACGAGGCTGGTCGCAATCGCGCGAAATGTGATCCTCGTTGCCACAGTTGTGGCAGGCGCGACCAGGGCCGCCAGCCATGGGCTTACGAGGCTCAGTGCACTCCGTCTTGCGATGTCTGAAGATTGTTAGCTTGGCACTTCAGGATGCTCTGCAAGAGTTCGACTTACCCGATCTTGCCGCAGTTGAAACAGGCTTGACCACCGGAGCCCTGAGGACAATCGCGCTTCTGGTGATCCGTCCCACCACAACCGAAGCAGGCACGGTCGCCGCCGCCACCACCTCCACCGGAGGGGCAGTCACGCTTTTGATGACCAGTCTTGCCACAGCCAAAGCAGGCCCGGTCGCCGCCACCGCCGCCGTTGTTGTTGTAGCTGGTAGTGTTTGCAGTAGAGAAACCGCCAGCAGAGCCCCAGCCGTCATTGGCAGTAGTCGTAGCGCCGCCGAAGGTGTCACCACCAGAGCCGAACTCGTTGTTGGCGTCAGCAAACTCGTTGCCACCACCAAAGCTTGTAGCGTCGCCGCCGAAAGTACCAGCTGGATTCTTGGCCTTCTCCAACTCTTCGCGCTCTTTGGCTTCAGCTGCACGGTGCTTCTTGGAGTTCTTGTGTTGGATCCAATCCTTGGTGGGGATCTCGCGGTCGCAGAGCTCGCAAAGGGAGATACGAGCAACATGCTCCTTGGCCTTGGGGTACGGGTTGGATGGCATGTTGGAATACAGGTTAGCCGGACCACGGGCCATGATGAGGACTGTGGAGGATGCGAGAGAGGTGAACTAGACACAGTTCGTTAGCTATTTGAACTCAGGAGATGGCAGCAGTGCAGTGAAGCGCGACAGACGCCGGTCGAGCGCCTAAAGAATCCAGGCTGGAAGCAACCTGGAGCTCGCGGTCTGCGCG